AGATAGATAGATAGATAGATAGATAGATAGATAGATAGATTGAGAGAGAGAGAGAAGAGAGAGAGAGAGAGAGAGAGAGAGAGAGAGAGAGAGAGAGAGAGAGAGAGAGAGAGAGAGAGAGAGAGAGAGAGAGGAGGAGGAGGAGAAAATGAGGCAGGGAGAAAGAAAAAGAGAGACATACGGAAAGAGACATGTTTTATGATCGTTTCTTTCTCCGTGCGGTGTGCCAACATTTCCGTTTAGAAACCAATTACACTTAGATCAGGTTGCTTCCAAGGTGAACCACAAATTCCCCCTCTCATACCCTGTTTACTGCTAAAAATTCTTAAGTCCTTGGACCCCGGGGACCAACTACTCTGGTGTAGCGGTTAGGGTCTTTGCAACTGCACGCGGAGGACATGAGTTCGATTCCAAAATAGATAGATTATTTATGAAGTAACACTGTCTGATACAATATTGCATTCTGTCCTTATAATCTATTCTTCCCACTACATTTTCATCTGACCTGGTGGCTGTTAAACAAGACAATATTCGACCAGATTCTGTGACAAAACATGAGCCTCCACAAACTTGTCAAACTGAAAACATGTTAAGCCACTACAGTACCACATGTGATATTTTATCGGACTGCTTATCCAATTATAACAGCAGAAAATTCAAATACACAGAATTTATAACAAAGTGTTGGTTTTTACTTTAGAAACTGACAAATTTATTCAGACGAAGCTGGTATCTATAGAACGTTTCATCAAGGAATAGTCTCTAACACAGTATAATTATTATGTCCGTGCGACACTTAAAGTTAAAGCCAGCTTTTGTCAGTCCTACATCTTCCATGAATGGATTTTGTAATTCCACGGGATCTCAGACGTTGTCACATCCTTTTTTTTTGGCCATCTCAGTTCCAATCAGATATGACACGTTGGTTACTTTGGGATATTCTGTATCTACACAATTACTGTTTGATGGTCCTTTCTGTAAAGTTTGGGTCTGTGACATTTAGGCGACTGATTCCATTACCCTCTATTTCTTCAACACCAAGACGAGGGTGCTTTATTGTATTAGCTTGTTGGAATGACGTCTGTTGAGTTTATCAGCACGCATTGTCTGTCATCTGCCGAGTACAGCGATTTCTACCCAAACATCGGCCGCCATCAATGTAGTTTTATCTGTGAATAAACGGATGAGAAATAATAAACTATGTGCCCTTTTCTCATCTCGATTTGCAAACGAAACAAATCAAATTTAGAAAAGTTAAAGAAATACACCGCTTTAGAATATCGATAGAATCTCTATCGTGTCGATCCTAAAGCACACACTTGCAACTACAGGTCTTTAACTAAACAAGAGAACTAAAAACTAAAGCACACCTTCTGCGTCCTATGGGATGTAGGCCTACTCCTTAAATCCAGAGCCCCTAATCAAAACAGAATCTCAAGATCAGATAGAAACGGACATCCATTTCTAACGTCACTTCATTTATTTTCCACTTCCATTTTGTTCTCTTCCATACTGACCTTCAAAATCGTCTTTTACACGCACATCTGACCCATCCACCGTTATTCACCCAATACGCACTCGACAGAGCATAAATTATGCAATGGAATATGACTCTTTTTGTGAGTACGGTGATAGTCATAACCTCAAATACTGTAATCCACCCCGCCCATGCCACCCCCATCTTCCTCCGCCGCCAACCAAGCCCACCCAAAAGTAAGTTTAAGTTAAATCAAATTAAAATAACAATAGATAAATTAAATTAAAATATTAAAGAACAAAAAAACTAGATGAA